TTGCTGATTTATTTATTTGTACTGCTAAATTAGCATTTGATATACGTGGGTGTGGGTGTGGGTGTGGGAGTGGGTGTGGGGGTGTGGGTGTGGGTGTGTGGGTGTGGGTGTGGGTGTGGGTGTGGGTGAAAAGACACAACTACTCACACCCACACCCACACCCACACACCCACACCCACACACCCACACCCACACCCACACACCCACACCCACACCCACACCCACACCCACTCCCACATCCACACCCTGGCATTTTAAAGCTGATTTTTTTGTTTAATAGTGATTTAATTGAAATAAAAACTACAAATTGATAATTATGTTATGAAGGTCTGTCCGATTATATATACATGTAAATAAATAGAAATTACAATTGATTTGAATTTCACATATCCCACGCTTTTATTTAAATAAGATTCATGTAGAAATGAGAACAACAATGATTATCATTCTGTTTACCGGTCGAAACGCGCAAAATTTTCACAAATAGCTACAATATATTATCTCAGTGTGTACAAGACAAAAACAATTCATGGCTATTTTCGACAATATAAACTTTAATTTTTTCTTATTTAGGATTTCCTCGATCATTAATCATTCTTGGTTTCTTTCGTAACTTTATTTTTTGTATCCAGAAGAAATTATTTCAATAAAAAATAGAAGGAAATCCAGTGGAACAAAGGAGAAATTACTGTCTTCACAATCTATAGTCGTGCTTTAATGTGAGTTCTTCAAAAATGGCCTATTTTTCGAAAATAGCGATTTTTTTACAAGATTTAGTCTAAGATCTACGAGTCGGGAAATCTGAATTTATAAACAGTTCGCTGAGAGAAATGAAATTCACCAATTTTTCATTATTCATTATGGGATGATTCGCCGATTACAGTAACTACCCATGTCTACTGTCGCATTCATTCGTCTTGGAAAAAACTGTAGGGCGTGCGCATAAACAGGTCTGAAGATTTGGATCATCTTAGCCGACACTTGTATCCGTCGGTACGGGCACGCCGACCCCCCTTCACTCCGCTTACATGTACATCGAATATTCTTCAAGTACTGAAGTCAATATCGTACATATCTGGACACTGATAGACAAAGTTACCTTGTTTCTCTACGATGCTGACACACTCGAGGGCATGGGTCATAGTTGTTTGTAATTCATTGATGTCGTTGATATGGTATTCGGGTATGGCAGATGGTTTTGATTTTTCCAGGTTTTGCGCAATTTTTTTGATGTCGTTGGTCAATGTTTCCCTCACTTGTAGTAGCTTTGCAAGATCCTTGCTCGAAAGAATATCTGCGAATCGTTCTCCGAGTTTATCGAGAACCTGCTTTTGGCAGTTCAGTTCATTTTGATAGTCTTCGACCAGTTTCTTTTTGTTTTTTTCGATCTCATCAAATCTGTCTTTTAGCGCTTTTTCGCGTTTATCAACTGCTGCGCGTATAGACACAAATACTTCAGTGATTTTGTCTTTGTCAACATTTGTACTTGAACTGATCATTTGTTGCGTATCTTTTAAGATTTTCTCCAAACACGATTGCGTACGTTCATAATCATCCTTCAACTAAAGTCCATGGAAAGATGCTTTCTGGAAGAAACGTGCACAATTGAATACTGACCTCTTTCTCTACGTCTTTTACAATGTTTATAATAGGTTCAACCTTATGATCAGGGTGTTCATCCAATTGACAGTCACGGCAGATCGCTTTCTTACATTCATCACACCAGTACTTTTCTTTTTCATCCAGATGTTTCATGCATCGCACCGGTTCCCATGGTTTTTGCTCAATGGGCATCCTTTCATGTGTTCGTAAAGCTGGTATTGTATGAATAGTATCGCTACACTTCAAGCAATAATTATTATAACACTCCTTACACCAAATACTGGCTTTTGAAACACAATCGTTCGAACATTGTTTATCGACTACAGTTAAAGAAAAGGAGAGTGGCAGCTTTAATATGAATTCACAAGCTATTATTCGCTAGCACAAATGGAAGTTCTCAGAAAACAAACAAAAACAATGAATTTTACACCATTTTAATGAAATATTTCCCACAGAAAAATGATGACCGAGATTTTAATTTACATTAAAGTCATGTTGTTAAAATTATATGAAAATATATCAAAACTGCGAAATGAAAATGTAATCGTGTGGCTTTTTTCCTTTCTAACTTTGCTGAAGAACCAGGTACAATCATTTTACTCAAACTTCTCTCACAGCCCAGATTGATTTACCTTCGAAGGACTCCGTATTAAGCTTCCGAAAAGTTCATCTTGCTTTATGCTCACCGTTAAATGCAAATAAGTTGAGTATTAAATTTAAGAATATATGCTACGAAGAAAAGCAGGATGCGATAGCCTTCTACTTCTTACACATTCCGCTTTGAAAAATTTCAAAATTCAATGCTTTTATACGGCGTAAATTACAATTAAGTCATCAATAAAAGGCATTTTTCATTCAAAATGGGATTGCTAATTTATTCGTATAAAGTGTAGTAAAAATTTGGTGATTTAGATAAAGAAAAATATAAAGAAACTAAGATTCTTATGTTGATTATTTTTTAAAAATGAATCATGTAGACTGAAAACTTGTAAAAGTAATGCAAATACTTAGTCGTTTTTAGCATAATCCAAGTCATGAAACTTGTTTTGAACGACAATACTCACAAATAATGCTCGTCGATCTGTTTCGCTTGACCCTCGAATGGATACTCGGCTCTTTCTATATAATATACTACTTTACAAGTCATAACAACACTAGTATCCAATATTTGAGAAAGGGTGGATGCGAGTCTGGATGTTGATAGTTGTGACAGCGTCTTTGTACACGAGCGTATCTAAG